CGAACCGGTTGGTCGGCAAACCCGGAAGTAAGTAACTTCCGGGAACGCTGAAGGATCCGCCCGCCCGCCCGCGTTTCTTACCCGTTTTTGATGAGTTCTGCGCTTCCACGCATGCGCAGGACGCATACAGCACCTGTGTGATCCTCCAGGAGCAGCTGGAGCATCGCACAGGCGCTAGTACGCATGCGTGCACTGCGCGCGTGCACAAGGACGCCTCCCGCCCCGTTCCAACCGAACCGGTTGGAACGGGGCGAGAAACCCACCCCTGTATATGTTACATGTAAAATACTGTCCTCAAAAATTATTGTTTGCAAAAGCATTACTAAAATAGGAGTTGGGAAGGAGTATTTCCTCTTTCAATGCACAAAAAAAATATTCATAGATTCTATGAGGATTCACAAAAATGAAGCTTCTCTTCTTTATTAGTATCTTTATTGTTTAACAATTTTAAAGGCATACAAAAATTTATTGGTGGGACTTTACAAGCTTATCTTCTGTATCAGGGGAAGTTTCCCTACTATTTTATTCCCACAAACAAGCTGTGTTAAAGGGACAGGGATATGAGACACTCACAGTTGGCAATCCAACAACTCTAATAAAGAAATAAACCAGGTATCTTAATCCGCAACAGTTTCTTCTGGTTACACTTGTAATTTTAGCTTCGTGTTCCCAATTCTTGATTTCTAAAAAAGCAAATGAGTTGCTGTAGCAGGAGATCTACCCAGTTCTCATGTGAATGAAGAACATCTGCCAGTTAATGTTAGAGTCATTATCACAAGCAATCTGAGCCAAAGAAAGTTGCCCTTTTGCAAAGCAATGGGTTCATGGGGTCATCGATCAAAGGTCAGCATGAAATATTAGCCAACAGAAACCATCTGTGCCTCCTTGCAGGCCTAAACCAGGCAGGGTTGATTGAAGTGAGAGCTCAAAAGTGAACAAAACAGGATGGAGGGGGAAGGGGTGTTGAGGAAAGGCAAATACAGTAAGCTGTTAGGTCTGTGGTTCATGTGCAACACTTCCTGCATCGTCATGCTCAAGAGACAGCAGTTGCAACTCCAGATTCTCAAGATGTAACAGCTGGATGCTATATGTAGATTATTCATTTCCAATGAACTTGAAAGAGGGATGTTTGAAAAAATAGGCTGTTTTACTTTTTGTACAGGAAATACAAAAACACAGAAAACACTATCACTGTACGATCTGGAGTGATTTATGGTTTCATTTCAAAACAAATTCATGGAAATTCACCTCCCCTCTCTTCATAAAGATAAGTATATAAGTATTTCCAGTCACTACAAAACAAATGAAATCAGTAATATGCTTGGACCTCTGGAATGAATTTCCTACTTTATGAAGACAGAAGAACTAGTTAATTAGTTTGGGGTTCTTTTTCCCTGAAATGTAGTTACTACTTTCCAGAGATGCGAGGAAAAGTAGCTCTTTCATGTGCTTCTGGTATCAATCTATGGCAGCAGCAACTCCAGTGCAAAAAATACTTTGAATTGGCTTGGTGACTGCCAAAAGAACTATACGAATCTGGAAAAACTGCACGCTTGCACATTCATTGATTTTGATTGAAAGTACTCAATTGCATGGAATGCATAATTTGATTGTGCTGTCATTCAAATACTGAATCTGATATTGATTCAGGATTCTTCAGATTATTTGAATTTATTTATACACTTTTGTTAATTGCAGCACTGAAACCAAGGGATATAAAACTCAGAAAGAGTCTGGTTGCACCTTTTCTAACTAACAAATGCTACTACAATGTATAAGCTTTTGTGGGGACATCCAGGGGTGGTATGGGGAATTGAAGACAGCTCTGGAAAAGGATGGCCAATGACCACGGCAAAGAAGGAGGAACTGGTGAGTAGATAGATCATAGGAACGTCTCTGAATAAAGATGGAAGATTAACCACATGTGCTCTGGATGTGCTCTGTTTCTCAAGAGTCTATAGGACATTAGTTTTCTGCAGGTTTGAGCACAAAGAGACAATGGGATTCACCATCTTGCTCATAATCACAGTGGAAACACTAAGTTTGCAAACTGCACTTTGCAAATCACTCTTGGAAATTGCTCATTAACTACTTCAGCTTTGAAAAGATCCAGTGAGTCTGCTTTTAATCTTGGATGAAAGAATACTTTAATTATAAGCTTATAAACAGCAAAAAGTAAATATGATTTTGATCTTAGAAGCTTATATACCAACTAAGGGTCCAAATAAAATTGAAATATTGAATTTTTTACAGTAAGATTTTGGAATTAATTATAAACACGTTTTCACAGGAAATAGATTTT